CTTTGTGACAATGATAGCACTTGAAAGATCCCCTTGATGACTGATTTCCACCATCATTGCTTGACCTTGATATGTACTGACCATTTCTTGAATCTTTCTTTTCCGATCTTCCTCTGACAATAAAACTGTCTCCGCTGACTTCCTTGTCCCTATCATGCTTCCTCTGAAGTTCTTTGGCTCTAATCAGAGATTGAACCTCCTCCAGAGTAATAGTTTGCACCCTTCCATAGAGCATCGCATCCTTGAAATGCTCGTAGCTCTTAGGAATAGAGTTTAGCAACAGCAGTGCTTTGTCCTCATCGTCCATCTTGACATCGATGTTCTCGAGGTCGTCGATGATCTTGTTGAACTCGTCGATCTGCTCTGAGACGGATTTGTCATCATGCATTTTGAAGGAGTATAGGCGCTGCTCTGCAACACCCTGTTGAACCAATAGAGCTCTCATCTTTACTCTCCATAGGCCGAAGTCGTTCTTCCCATTGAATTTCTCAATGTCGAATTTGACGGAACTCATTGTCGTGGCTAGGATCTCTTTCAAATGAATTTTACCTGCTGCCCTTCCAAGAACTTCTCCCCGTGAACTTCACTGCCTTCGTCAACCGAACCGGAGAGCTCTGATCCCTTCTGGCAAAGATCACACCTGTTCACCGGAGAAAACTTCCTGTTCTGTGCTCGCGCCTCCTTTCCGCAGGCACTCCTCTGCGTCTCGCATGAGAATAACTGTCTCTCCAGAGCCGTCGCGCCTCGCCAAACTGCTCAAGTCCTCCCGCTTTGCGAACTCCCGAACAGGGAACTCCCCGAACCCTCCTTTGCGCGATCTCCACCTCTTCCCTCTAGCCGAGCTGCTCGTAAGACCGAAATCCTCTGCTGGCAGCCCTGTCGCAAATTTTCGGCCCTCGCTCGATGACTGTTCCTCCTTCTCGCCAAACCGCACAACCTGCGGTGCCTGTTCTGTGCTCGCGCCTCCTTCCCGCAGGCACTCCTCTGCGTCCAGCGGAACAAATCAGGAATTCCTCCTCTGCCTCTTACACGAGAATAACTGCCTCTCCAGAGTCGTCGCGCCTCGCTAAACTGCTTAAGTCCTCCTGCTTCGCGAACTCTCGAATAGGGAACTCCCTGAACCCTTCTCTGCGCGATCTCTACCTCTTCCCTCTGGTCGAGCTGCTCGCAAGACCAAACTCCTGCTCTGAAATCCTCTACTGGCAATCTTGTCGTAAATTTTCGTGTCGTGGCTAGAATTTCTTCCAATGAATTCTACCTTTTAACACCTTACTATCCAAGAAATTCTCACCAAATTTCTTACCTTCT